CAATCCAGGACTGCTGGCTCCCAAATGCTTGCCTGCCTGCCTTCCTGATTGCCCCTAACTGCTTCTACCTGCCAGCCTGATCACCCTCTAACCACTTCCCTGACAGCCTGATGGATGCCTAACTTCTCCCCTGTCAGACTGATTGCCCTTAACTGCCTTCCCCTGCAGGCCTGGCCACTCCAAACTGCCCTCCCATGCAGGCCTGGTCCCCCCCAATTGATCTCCTCTGCAGGCCTGGGTCCCCCCAACCCCCAACTGCTCTTCCTTTCAAGCCGGTTGCCCCCTACTTCCCTCTTCTGCCAGCCTGGTAACCCCTAAGTGCACCTCCATTGCAGGCCTGATCCCTCCCAACTGCCCTCCCCTGCTGGCCATCTTGTGGTGGCCATCTTGTGTCTACATGGGGGCAGCCATCTTTGACCAGATGGGAGCAGCCATCTTGTGTGTTGGAGTGACAGTCAATTTGCATATTATTCTTTTATTAGATAGGATTAGATAGGATAGAGGCCTGATGCATAGGTGGGGGCCAGCTGGTTTGCCTTGAATGGTGTTCCGGATCAGGGTGGGGGTTCCCTTGAGGTGTGGAGTGGCCTGAGTAAGGTGCCTGTGGTGGTTTGCAGGCCAGCCATGCCCCCGGGTGACCCAAGCGGAGGCTCTGGTATCTGGGGTTTATTTATCTTCTATAATTGAAACTTTGTAGCTATGAGCAGAAGCCACAGCAGGCCACGGTGGCAGGGAATCTTGGCTTCCTTGATTGCCTGGGAAACCCAAGCCTCCTGTTTGCTGCAGCTCTGTGGGTGCAGCCATCTTGGTTCGGTTAATTTGCATACTTCCTCCTGATTGGCTGGTGGTCATGGCTTGTTGGTGTAGCAGAGTGATGGTTGCTTTGCATATTACTCTTTTATTAGATAGATGGCTTTACCCTTTCAAGTGCCTGAACGTTATTGCTACTTTCTGTACTTAGGTCAAATACTTCTGATACATGAAAGCGTTTTACTCATTTTTAAAAATATATATATTTTTTACTGATTTTTTACAGAGGGGAAATGAGAGGGACAGAGAGCTAGAAACATGGATGAGAGAGAATCATCGACCAGCTGCCTCCTGCACAACCCCTACTGGGGATGTGCCCACAACCAATGTACATGCCCTTGACAGGAATCGAACCTGGGACTTTTCAGTCTGCAGACCAATGCTCTATCCACTGAGCCAAACCAGTTTTGGCAGCATTTTACTCTTCATATTAGTATGTGATGCCCACATCTACCAGGGTGATCAAAGAAATAGTCACACTATGTGGCTACATTGTCAGTGAGAAAATCACTCTTTCCAAGCATCCCTACTTGATGTACATTTGTGTTCAAGCTACGCCCTATAAGTATTGATAAGCACAGGATTTGAGTTTGAGGTTTACATGGCTACAGACAAGAGAATTTCCAAGGGGAGAAACCTGAAGACCTTTAGTTGTTCTAGAAGGGTACTTATTTCTACTTTTATCTGAAACACCTCTTGAGCTGATATCTCCTTGGGAAATGAAGGAAGCCATATTGCATGCAAATGTAGATTTTAATGTCACACATGACACTTTCAGATTTAGGTCTCCAGACATAGGATGAGGGGGGAGAATAGTATGCATGGCATGCACAAAGAAATGAAGTGAATAATTATTTCCTGGCCTTATCTTTTCAAGATCCTACTGCAAAACGAATGTGATAGTGAAATGTATTTATTCATATTGGGATAAAACTTAGGCTATAACTCCAAGTTAATTTAATTTTCAAAGCAAATCTCATTACAATAGATAAAGGCTTTGTTTCAAAGACAGAGAATTAGAACTAATGCATTTTGCTCTGGTTTGAGCATTTCATTTGGCTTCTTTAAAAGCTTAATGTTTAAAGTGGCATTTTCAAGATACAATAATACTGACAAAGGAATAGCTGATAGAATGATAGAATAACATCATTATAAATCAACTGACAATGAGATAAAACACCCAAGTGGGGAAAAAGACTCATCTGTTGGCATAAAATCGATATTTACCATAGTTTCAAAACCAGGCAGACATTGCTTGTGTTTTTATCTGAACTGAGGATTTTGAAAATTTATGTTTTAACAAGATCTGGCCCAGGTCTCTATGGATCTTATAGATGTAATGCAATTGGCAACTCTGACTCACGACTTTGTTTATACACTTATGCTTCACATCAGAAAAGCTATTTTCTCCCTATAGCTTCTAAGAATGGCTCTCAATTACAGACCTACGTCTGAATCATGTCTCAGCTTCCCTTTTCTAGCTTACGTCCAGTCCATCTTCCTTCTTGCATGTATCCCCATTATGACATCTTTCAGAGTCTATCAGGGACATTGAATAGACATGATATATTTTACTGACTTATAAGTATGAAGGAGACATGCCTTCCAATAAGAAAAATTATGCATATGCATTTCTTTCTCCCTTGCTAATGTATAGCAGCAAGGAAACAGAGAAATGTGCTATTATTTAGTAAGACTTCTAGAAAAGCCATTCCCTTTGCCTCAGCAGCCCATATCTGGCTCTTGCTTTTATTCTTGTGGCCAAATATTGCACTTGTGTCTTATTAATTATGATCATTATCTCTTCTTCTTCTTCTTCTTCTTCTTCTTCTTCTTCTTCTTCTTCTTCTTCTTCTTCTTCTTCTTCTTCTTCTTCTTCTTTATAAATAATAACACTTCACTGCCCTCTCAGATGTGGTGTACAGGTGGGTAGATAAAACATAAGTATGCTAAAGAACCATATTAAACATAAAGTGTTGTGGGAACATTAAGGTGGGATAATTATTTTTGTCTAAAATAATGAGGAATGTTCTATATACAGGAAAAGCCAAGATCCTAAAAGTAATGAGAATTGTGGGAACTGTTAGGTAATTGTTGTTATAACTTGTCTGTGTAAATAAAATTTATGAAAGAGTATCAGGGTTCATTGAAATGGGTATATAAAGGGAGAGGGAGACAAAACTCAGTGAAGTCCATTAATAATAGAGTCTTAAATTATATCCACACATTTCCCTCTTATAAGTCTTTAAATATCCTGTGTCCAGGTCTTCAAGTAGTGGATAGATCTCAAAATATGGTCATACTTTGCTATACTTGATATTCCCCTTATTTATTTATCATTTAGAATAATGAGAACTGTCACTTCAAAAGGGTGACATCCCCAGAAGAACCAGAAAAAAAGCTTTCATTTGGAAATGATTGTTCATTCTATATGGTTACTTAAAATAGCAACATGGATTTTTATTACTCTCTGTACTTCTATTTCCTTTTGAAGAATTAGTACTAGAAAATAATAATAACTGCTATTAAACAGGATGCTCATGAACTTGAAACAATTTTTCATCTCTGCACCTTCTTTGTAAAGCTTTCCATGAATAGCTTAATTGAAATCATCTTTTTATTTGTTGGAAACCTGTAGTATTTTATCTATACTTCCTAATGTTACTTAATTCTTAATTACTTTACTTCTGTATAATAATATATAGATTATATCATTATATTTTATAAATATTCATGTAACATCTAATCTCCTTACTGAAAATTTTTATGGTAGCACCCAAAACTGTGTCATCTTTCCACTTCTCAAAGCATGCAGGAGTTAGTATTTTGCATGTACAATAGTTCAAACTCCAGAGTTATTGAAGAGCTAAATGAATAAATGTATGAATGAGCAGTGCCATTGAAAGCTGATTCTTGACATGTTACTCATAGGATTTTGTTTCAGATATTGACTTCCAAAGCAATGATCACAAAATTAATATGAAATGGGATGAATATGAAAATTGTTTTCAGGAAAATCAAGCTTTGAACTTAGTTCTGTTGTCTCTTTTGGAAATACCCTATAAATAAAAAACACGTTTTGTTAAAATTCTAATATTTCTTTATGAAATGTGTCCTTAGCTGAGTATATTCAGGTATAGCATTTAAAGAATAAATAGAATTTAGAATTTAATTTTTATGCTCACATTTGCTAATAATAAAAATTAATCAAAATTCAAGGAAAGCAATCCAATTAAAGTGCTAATAAACAGAACCAAAGCAATGCATGGACTGTGACATAACATCAAGAATATTATAGGTTTCTCCTCTTATAAAATATTATAAACATTTCACAATGTATTAAACTATAAGATAAAATGCAGTTGTCATTTAAAATATATATTAAAAAATTAAAGCATTTAAAATATGTATTTAAAATGTAAAACATTAACAATAATCCAATTATTAGTGATTGGTTCTTGTTACAATACTTTTCTGATTCAGAATAAAAATAAACCAAATAGTTAAAAATAATTTCTTCAGACTATTAATTAATTTTTGTAATGTTCAACAATATCAATTTTTTCTGTTTGTTTCTAATTGAACCAAGAAAGTATTGTCTTTGGCATGTGCACTTTATAATTCTGTTATCTTCTATGTTAATTTCAGATATGTCAAATAAATAATTAGAATGTTGAAACAAGAGGAAATCAAAATTTTCTGATGTGGTATTAGAGCCTCTTCTCACAATATTAATATTTAAAAATGAGAGAGGCCTGAAATGTGTAAAATGGCATGTTTTACACTGAGATTTAATCTTTACTTTGGGAATAGATATTTAAAACCCAAACCAAGGATTTTGGTGTAACAATTGAATTCTGAGTCCTGATAGGCATTCATACAAGTGAGGCCCATCATTTGCTCTTGTATTCATTTCCAATCACTCTCTTACTTAAGAGAAAAGAGAAAATGTGGCAATAATCTCTGACATTAGTCTTCTTTGTGAAATAGAGCACAAATGAAAGTTTTCAAAAGTTGCAAGCAACATGTAAAATTTAAGCTGCTAACAAAGACTAGTTCAAAAGAATCCCAAATTGAAATGAATGCTATACTTGTTTCCATTTTATAATAAAAAGACCTGAAAACTTTTTAAAGAATATTTAAATGTCTAGATTTCCCACAGGCTTAACATAAGTTTAAGTAAAACGTACCTTTAAAATTTGGTCTGATTCTTGCATCATATCCTGATGTCTTTCCCATTAATTTGTCCAAGAAATCTGAAGGAGATAGGGTCTGCGAAGGTTGTTTTCCAGACCTGGAGTCATGGTCTTTGCAGAAAGCAGCCCTAAACATATCATTGAATATTTTAGCAATAATTCCATTCTCATCGCCTAAGAACTAATACTCAGATAATGTTTCACATGTTTTGTAAATGTATTTGATATGTTACTAAGAAGAAAATAAATGGCAAACTCTTTGGTCAACTTCTGGTCTAGAGTTAACTTTAAATGATGAGAGGTACAAATTCTGAGTCATATCTCCTAAGTTTTCAAACTACAGCCATACATAAGATGTTTAAGATGAAACAACATGCAGAGTTTTAGAGTGTAGGTTTTATGGACATATTGTTAAGGACATTTCTTTCTAGAGTCAACAGAGAAATGAAGATGATAACTTCTAAAATGTAGGTGTTTGTCTTAAAATCATTTCCTCGTGCATTTCAAAAAATTTTCCTAGTATTTTAGCCCTTAAAATAAGTCCTCTACTTTTTTATAAGAAATATAGGCAGAACAAAGTAAGCATGAACTAATTATCTCATTGCTTATTTTCTCACCTGCTAGATTCTATTCCAGCTATCAACTATTAATACTTTTCATTGCGATGTCTAAAAGCAAATCTTCACTTGGAAATTTAACTTCATTCTAAAATAGGTCAACAACGAGCTTGCCTGTATTTCTATTGTATCAGTTGTTATTTATACATAAGCATTTAAATTGTTGACTGGAATAAAGTATTCATAGAAAAAAACTTTTAAATTATTTTCTCTTGAATGAAAAAAACTTTTAAATTATTTTCTCTTGAATAAAAAATACTGAATGTTGGTTGGAAATTTTTTATTTCCTTAAAGGGCTCATAAAAAGAGCACATTTATTTTATAGTGAAAATGAATTATTTCACAATATATAGTGGTGACTGAATGTTGATTTCTACCCTGAAGAAATTCTACAAGCTTTGTTTTCAATAATATAATAGTCTTGTTAATTTTATAACTAAAAAAATTACCACATTTTTTCCAGTTTTTCAAAGAAGTAATATTAACTATAAGTGCAAAGATGATGCAAACATTTGGTAGGAGTTAAAAAATTGATATGATCATCTAGAAATACTCACATTCCCATATGCAGATCATCTGATTAATCAAGTACTATTTGATTATGATAGTGGTGGTAGTGGTGAAGGTGAAGGTGAAGATGATGATGATGATGGTGATGATGATGATGATGATTCTAATAAAACCCAGCCTACAGTTTTTCTTAATCATAGTAGGAGGTGTGAACCTGAAAGGAACGTAGTGGGTTTTCCCAGTACTCAGAGCATTGCTGCTATATGTTTCATTTCTCTTGGTTCTGTGAAAAAATACCATAAAATTTGGTGAAAATTAAATGAAGAGTTCTGTACTTTGTTGTATGAACATCTCCTATCTATCTTTCATTAGGTTGGCTATTTTACTTATTGGTAATAATCTGATATTTTGAAGTATCAATTGATTTGACAATTTTTAAATTAGGTAGAAAATGCAAGCATGCAAATAATGATTTCTCAATTATTTTAATTATTCATAGTCTATTTCACATGCATACATAAATACAAAGATGTCATTTTAATTACATTTTGGTAGGCAATCAATTTCGACTATACCGAACAGTAGAATATAGTGGCAAAATGTGATTTGAAATGTTACTGATGTTTCAAGAAATTTCCTGAATTGTAGTCCTCATAGTATGCATCTAGTTGCTGAAATATAATAGAAGTCCCAAGTTGGTTAAGAATTAAGGTTTTTTAATATCTCATATAAAATAAGCATGATCTTGGTAAATTTATCCAAGCACTTCCAGCATATGAAAAGTATTGCATTCAATAATCCTTTTAAATGACTTCCAGAATTTGAAAGCAAAAAAAAAAAAAAAAAAAAATTCACCATCATATAGAAATTTAAAGAGCATGCAACTCATCAGACTACTTTAATATCACATTGGCTGTGAAAATATGTTGAAATGCATAGAGTGGGGTTATATATCATAAAACTTGCCTTTGTGAAAATTTACACCCCTCCCATCAAAATTAATCTTTTTAAAAGAACAAAAGAAATCTAACTCCCTCCCATAAAATTAAAATAATATGATCTGGGGCATAGGAAATTGAGAAAAACTGTATGACATGTTATCTTTCAAACAGTTCTCATGTGGAAAATATCAACATGCAAAGTCTTTTCACCTACCTGAAGTGGCTTGTCTCTAAGAAAAATGCAAACAAGGTTGTCAAAATGTTCACTAGCTGCCGGTTCATTCCTGTTTCTGCGATCTTGTGGAAAACAGCCCCGAAATGATTCCAGTGAGAAGCTAGGACAAAGTATCTGTCTATTGTCCAGATTCAAAACCTGGCAGGGATCTAGTTTCCTTGAAAATCAGAAAGAGATTGGGGTTTGTATAGTTTGCTGAGAAAAAACAAAAAGTGCCAGTACTAAGCATCGTGCTCAGGTTAGACTGGACTCGGGACCATCAGTGAACCCAGAGAAGACAAAGCCTCAGAACTGATGATCCCCCCAGCTGCTCCCCCTAAATAATAAAAATGCCGCTACCTTAATCGCATCACCAGGCAAAGGGGGCTGGTGACAGTGCCATGCTGAAGTCTGGTTGCCGCGGCTTTTAAGTCCTTTCTGTGGAGTGAATCCCCTTTCTCTAGCAAAGGTTCTCTTTGTCAAAGAAGTTGTAAATGAGGGAGACGAAAGGACTCTGCGGGCTGGAGTGGGGAGAGAGGAGAGGGCAAAAACGCTGAGCTCCTGTGCTGGAATGAGGGCTACAGAAAGACAGGGAGATGTGCTCTTCCCCAGCCTATAAATTTCAGCACTAGGACAGCTGCTAGCTCTGAAGTGCGCATGTTTCCTTTCTCAGGCGCTTGGGGCGGGGGTCGGGGAGAGGCATTCTGGAGGGGACATGCCTGTCATTCAGAGGCAGAGAGTGACTGCCCGCTCAGCTCAGGGGTGCTGAAGGGGGCGCGATGACAGCCAAGGAAGAGCAGAGGTCAGGGGAGACACTGGGTGAGGGAGAGGAGGGTCTGAGCTCCTGGCAATGCTAGTCTGCCAGTGGGTGGGCGGGACAGGAGTTGGAAGCAGAGAAGGGAATGAGGTCTAGGCGTGGGCAAAGGAAATCGGGGAAGCACCAGACAGGATGTGGAGTACGGAAATTATAATAGGGGAGTGGGTTGCCCACTCTTGACGAGTAGAAGCTGGGAGCAAAGGGGAGTCCTGTGCTGGAGAGCAGGGGATATTTCCGTGGCACAGAGAAACCCTTGTGCGGGAAGAGATACGTGGGGATTGCTGAATTAATTGAGAAGCCCTTTATGCCTTTCTCACCCCTGGAGTGTTTTCGTTTGATTTTAGCCGCCTGTTCCCAAAGTATCTCTTTACCTCTCTGCTAGGGAAAACCCCTTCCGCGAGTTCTCTTCAGTGGCTCCAAATCCTTGGGCATCCTCTTGAAGTTTCGGATTTCTAGAAGAGAAAATACAGCGGGCCAGAAGGGGGCAGTAGCAATCTTTTCCTGCCCTGGTTAAAGGTTAGAGTAAGGCTCCGAGTCAGAAATGGAGCAAGAAAGGGGGAGTCTGTGGGTGGTTTCCTCTGCCCATTCCAGATGTTAATCCCTAGGGAGGGTCATGTCACATAGTGACGTTCTTCGAAATTGGCTCAAGAGTCAGAAAAAAGCATGACAGGCAATCTTGCTATTTCAAATTAAAATTACAAATATTATTAATAATAAAAGAGGAAAGGTAAATAGCTCAGTGCAAGTAATTAGCAGCTTCTGGGAAGGGGAACTGAAAAATGCATGTTTAACCACGAGCTGAGTGAACAAGCTACTTGTTGTCGGTAAAGTTACGTTGTTAGTCATGTTGGCACTCCACTGCAGGTCTTAAAAGAATATGGTTAATGTTTAGTCCATAAAGGATGAATCTCCCAAGGATCTGTTTGAATTTCATAGCAGAGTAACCAAGAATTTCATATTTTTCAAAAGTAGAAAAAGTTTACGAGAAGAAATTGTGAGTTCTTTTCACCTTTTCATGTTAATATAAATCACTAAGATTCTCGTTGAAATGCAGTTTCTGATCTAGTAGGTCTGAGGTGGCGGTTTGAGATGCTGCGTTTCTAACAAGTTCCTAGCTGAGGCTGATGCAACTGGTCCACTGATCACACTTTGAGGAGCAACGGACTGTACACACCTTTATTGGATTTCTATCCCACCAAGCCAGTGAAAATATAGGAACTTCTCCTTAATGAAAAGCAGCAGCGCCCAAGCATTCTGCTTACATACAAAATCAATTCTTTGCGATGTCTTCTCTTAACTCTCAAAGCCCAGAAAAAGTGATTCAATTAAAAGGAAGACAGTGTAGTGTAGTGTGAGACATCTCTGGACTGCACCTTCAAATCTGGTCACTTCCAAATTCACCCACAAGAAAGCTCTAGACCTGATTTTATCCCTGCAGTCCTGACCCAAAAAATAAAATGAATTCCAGATGGTGCTATGGGAAAAACCACACAAGATTTTTATGCTCAAGATGCTTTCCAAAAGTAATATATATTACACATACATACACACACACACTGATAATCACTAGTATACAATATTATGCTCATCCATAACTTCCAATATCCTTTTTTATAGATGATATACAAATATGTATTTCTATAATGTAAAAGTAGAAGAAAATAATTTGTCCCAAATTGACTTGAGGTTGTAATGCTGCTCAAAGTAATTAGTCTTTGCAAATAATTTCTTTCAATAGCAATCTGGCTATTAACCAGGAGAAGGGTGAGTAGAGAAACCTGTGACAAAGGGACACTCTGGCTAACAACATGAAATTAACTATTTTAGAGTTGGCATAACTTCAGAGAGGATCTAGTCTAACCTCCTCATTTTACTTCTCAGCTCTCCTCCATTTGGATTCCAGCTCTGTAAAACCACAGAAATAGCTCTCACTGAGTCTGTCACTGAGTTCCATGTAACTAAAACTAAAGGATATTTTTTGTTGTCATCTTACTTGACAGTTCCATGACTGTGATCACCTCGGTCTTTTTTCACTTTTTTCAAGTTTTATTTTATTGTGGTAAGAACATTTAACATGATACCTACTTTCTCAACAGATTTTTAAGTGTACACTATTGTTAATGATGGGCACAATATCATGCAGTGGGTCTCTAGAGCGTATTCATCTTGCACCACTGAAATTTTATACCTTTTGATTAATAGCTCCCTCCCTTCAGACCCTAGCAGCCAGCACTCTGCTCTCAAAGTACTTTCCTCCCTTGACTCTGTGACACAGTGAACTCATGGCTTGCCTCTTGTTCTATCTCTTGGCAGACATATCCTTTTCTACCTGGCTTATGAAAGTTGGATTTCCTAAAGGCTGTATTCTGGGCCCTTTCTTATATTACACTCACTAGTATACAATATTATGCCCCATCCATAACTTCCAATATACTTTTATATATTTGATATACAAATATGTATTTCTATCCAGACCTGTACATCCAACTGTTCCCTATACAATTCCTGCTGAATGTGTCAAAAGCTCATTAAACTCCACATTTCAAAATCAAACCTTTAATATTTCATCCAAATAATGTTTCTATTCTACTGTGCCTGTTTCATTGTTGCCAGCTAAAACCCAAGGCATCGTCTCTAAGACTCCCTTTCCATCATCCACCATATTCAGTTCTTCACCTAGCCCTATTGAATTTATCCCTAAAATATTTACAAGCTCTGTCTATTCTTTCCATCTCAACCACTATGACTCCAGTTGACCTATCTTTATTTCTTGATTCTATTGCAGCAATAGCTTACTGATCTACCTGGACCAACAGCACATCGCCCTTCACCTCATTCTCTACATTGCAGCCAGAATGACTGTTCAAAAATCCAAACCTGATTATGTCACACCTCTTGATTAACATTATGACTTTCCAGTAATCTTTGGGTAGAACAAGAAAATGTAACATGACCTAAAAGCTCTATAAGGTCTGGCCTATGCTTACATTATCCTTCATCTCAACCCATACTCATCTCATTTCTTCCCCTCTAGCCACATTAGTCTCTTTTTAGTCCCTCGTGCTTGCCATGTTGCTTAATCCCATGGCATTCTCATGCCTCCCATTTTGTCTTGTTCACGTTAGCTTAGTTTTCAAATATCTGATCAAGTGTTATTTCCTCAAGAAGACTTTCCATGACCTGTGTGACTCTATAAACTCTCCCTATTATATGCTCTCTTAGTACTCAGCAACTCTGATTCAAAGAGCTGGTCATCATTGCATATACGCCGAGTGGCCAGATTATTATGGTCTCTGACCGTATAATAATCTGGCCACTCAGTGTATATCCTATATACTAAAAGGCCAATATGCAAAATGTTTCCTCAACCAGGAGTTCGACCAGCAGGCGGGCCAGCCAACTGCCCATCCCCTTCCCCCCGCCCCCCCCCCCCCACCGCTAGGCTGGCCAGACCCCACCCATGCACGAATTCATGCGTGGCCAGATTATTATGTGTTCAGAGATCATAATAATCTGGCCACTCGGTATATACATGTGTATGATTAATTGCTTAGATAATGAGCTTTATAATGGACAGGACAACATTTGTTTTGGTCCACTATTGCATCCCCATGCATTCAATGATAATGACAATAATCATAATAATCAATGCTGATTAAGATACAATATTTAAAATGCACCCAGAAGTACTACTTAAATAAAACAATATACTTAAATATATGTAGTTATGTCAAAAATTCCTTGTGAGTAAATGAACAATTTAAGAACTATGGTTATTTGAAAAGAAACCAAACTCAGTGGCTCAGGAGTCTATAGCATGAGATGAAAATACAAGTAGGAGACTATGAATCTGATGTGCTTGATTCAGATTCCACCTCTAACATCAATCAATTACGTGAACTTGCACAAGTCGTTTAATCCCACTAAGTCTCATTTTTGTAATATGCAAAATACAGATAGTAATGTGATGGTAATATTGTTACATAAATATTTCTACATGGAATACTCTTAAAAGTCATGTTAAATCAGAGTTGAGGATGTGTTTTAAGCTCTTAATCTTAGTTCTTAACATCTATTGACTACTAAAATTCATGTTTTCATTTCATCCCTTGGACAAGTATACTTGCAAGTACAGTAAGTCTCAGAGCTTAGAAAGGTCATATTTGCAATGCAATAGGATCTCAAAGTAGAATCCACCTATGCTTCTAGTTCACCAAATTACAACTGATTGAGGCATGTGACATCCTTGCTTTTTACTCTTGTCAGATAAATGAGAAGATTCTGACCGATCCTATCTCTATATACAAAAGGCTAATATGCTAAGTATCCAACTCTCTGACCTATTACTATATTGCACACCGACCACCAGGGACAGATGCTCAATGCAGGGGCTGCTATGACATGCACTGGCTATTTACAGAGAAACTGCACCATGGATCTGGCACCCACAAAGCAACATTCAGCTTCTCCCAAGTGGAACACAGGCCTCGCCACCACCCCAGAGCTATTTTTCCAAGTCACTTAAAATCTACTATATGTCCACAACTATTTTTAATAGCTATGTTTATTACTCCTTTGCAGTATCAATTTTTTGATGACATTTTGCTTTCTATTTTGAATTCCACATACACATAAGTGACAGAAGGAAAGCCCATTATTAAGAGTCCCAAAGTCAATTTCTTCAGGGAAAGTGTTGAAATACTTCTAATATATCAACATCCTTTATCAGGTCTCCTCATGAAGTCTTATGGGTCTTCCTGCAGAGAGATGGTCATCCTAAAATATGGGCATTATTTCCCCACTTGAAAAGATAGAGATTAAGAAAGGACTTATTAATGTACCATGGACACCAACCAAGAAGTAGAGTTTGAGGCAAATCAGAGAGGGCAAGAAATTGTTTTACCAAATCTTTGTTTGAGGATGCTTCCTCACAGAGA